TTCCTCAGTTGGAGCCGTCCGGGGGTCCGAGGTGGCCCAGCAGTGGTTCTGGACAGCAGGGAGGGCAGGCATGTTCGAGATGCTGGGTTCGGGAGGGCTTCGCTATCCTTTTCAATATCTGGGGGACGTTTTCGGGCCCCGGGACCGTCAAAACCAGATCTGGGGTGAAAGACTGCGCCAGATGGATCCCAGGTGGGGTCTGGGGTCTGGGGGCCAATTTTGACCGTACTTGGCCTTATCCACGCTCCTGGCTGATTTTCTGGGATCCTAACCAGCTTCCACACCCCAGCCGCCTCCCATTTATGGGGGGGGGACTGGCACCAGGGGGGAACATCGACCTCGAATCAGCGTTGCATCGTCGATCGATCGGCGATGAGCCCCCCAAAGCAAGCCCGCACGTTCCTGGGGTGGGGCTGTCGGGGTGGGGCCGATGCGCCCCTCCGGAGCCTTTCACGCTGCCCCCAACTCGGCTCTCCGGCGGCCGTTCGGGACCATCCGGGCGCCCCCAGGGACGCCCTCGCCGCGGCGCAGCTGCTGGAAAGCACCCCGAGGCTGGAGAGCCGCCGAGAGCTGGCGAACCCAGCCGAACACGTCGCGCCTCGAAGCCGCAGCTTCCCCGAACCCTGAGCTGATCGCCCCCCCGTAGTATTGCTGCCCCCCTACTGCCGCTGCAGCAGCTCCAGCGCGGCGCCCCCGAGCTCCCCCTCCTGGGCCACGTCGGCGCTGACGCCCGGGTTCGCGCAGCTGCCGCGGCGGGCCGCGTCGCAGGCCGCCGGCGATGCGGAGCCCCCGGCCGCGAGGGCGGAGAGCGCGCAGGCGAGCAGCGACGATCGGCGGCTCAAAGGTGGGGCTCTGAGGGGACCACTCCCTGAGATCCTGGCGAGGCAGTCTGTTGGCAAGGGGCGCGTTTGCCCAACATCGGGCCCCGGGGACCCGCACAGAGCGACCTGCTCGAGGAGTGGCGCAGAAAGATGGGGTCCAGAGCTCCGAGGAGAGAGCGTGATCCACCGCCGCTTTTCTATGGAAAATTCCCCCCCCCTCTTCCTCCGGAACCCGAGGTCCCCCCCCTCCGAAAATGCTCCCCCCACCCCCCCTGCTGGACCCCCCCCCATCCTCCTTCCCCCGGCAACCCCCCCCCCTCCCCCGGAAACCGAGGGGGTATACCGGTTCGAACCTGCCCCCCTCCGGAAAACCGAGGGGGGGTCACAACCGGTTCGAACCCCTCCCCAGTCCAGAAAAGCGGGGGAGGGTCACTACCGGTTCGACCCCCCCCACCCCTCGAAAACCGAGAGGGGGTGACTACTGGTTCGAACCCCCCCCTCCTCGAAAACCGGGGGGGGTCACTACCGGTTCGAACCCCCCCCCTCTCCCCTTCCAAAAACCGGGGGGGGGTCACTATACCGGTTCGAACCCCCCCCTCACGCTAACCGCCAGCAAACGACTCCCGGGTTCCTACCACCATCCGCACCGCATCCCCCACTGCTGTCCCCAGCACCACTGTCGTCACCACCACTGTCCCCACTGTTCCCACCACCGTCCCCCACTGTCCCCACCAGTGCCCCCACCACTGTTGCACTGTCCCCACTGTCCCCGCCACTGTTCCCACCACGGTTCTACTCTCCCCACTTTCTCCACGGCCCCAAGCACTGTCCCACTGTCCCCACTGTCCCACTGTCCCTGCCGCTGCCCCACTGAGCTGTCCCACTATACCCACCACTGTCCCCACTGTACCTCTGTCCCATTATCCCAGCGCCGTCCTCGCCACCGCCCTCACCACTGTCCCCACCACCACTGTACCCTCCACTGTCCGACTGTTTACACCACATTCCCACTGTCCCCACACCACTGTCCCCACCACCACCGTCCCCACCACTGTCCCACTGTCCCCACTGTTCCCACCATTGTCCCCGCTGTCCCCACCAGTGCCCCACCAGTGTCTCACTGTCCCCACTCTCCCCACCATTGTCCCACCACGGTCCCACTCTCCCCACTTTCCCCACGGACCACTGTCCCACTGTCCCCCCTGTACCCACCACTGTCCCACTGTCACCGCCGCTGTCCCACTGTGCTGTCCCACCGTCCCACCACTGTCCGCACCAACTGTCCCCGCACCATTGTCCCCACCACCACCGTTCCCACCACTGTCCCAGCATCCCCACCCTTGTCCAACTGTCCCGAGGAGCGGGAATCGTTTGCCGGCGGCGAGGGGGGGGGTTCGAACCGGTGGAGACCACGGCCAGTTTTCGAGGGGGGGGTTCGAACCGGTAGTGACCCCCCCGGTTTTCGAGGGGGGGGGGGTTCGAAGCGGCAGTGACCCCCCCCCCTTTTCATGATGGGGGGGGGAAGGGTTCGAACTGGTAGTGACCCCCCCCGGGTTTTCGAGGGGGGGGTGGGGGGACGGGTTGGGGACCCCCAGTGACCCCCCCCCCCCCGGTTTTCCGCCAGCAGCGGTATAGAACACGCTCTTTCAGAGCTCTGGTCTTGTTTATGTTTCCGTCTCTTGTATGTTTCCTTCGACGTCTAACTTTTGTTCGCGCCGTCGGATCTCAGGGCAGGATGGGGCCCGGAGGGGGCGGGGCCCTGACGAGGAGAACCTCAAACAGTGAAGGCTCGACCTGTGAGGGCCCCATCTTCGAACCGCCGAGATGATGGAAACATGGACTAGAAGCTGCCGGCGAGGCGCCGGAAGATCAGGGGTGCCCACGATGGCGGGGGTTGTCCATCGTACGGGCAGGCATGCCCTTGAGCACGCAGCGGCAGTGGATGGTGGCGAAGATGCGGGAGGGCAGCTGTGCTTTGCAATGCGAGCCTCCCCTCTGTCAGCACCCCTCTCCCACAGGATCCCGCTGGGAAGACGGAGGAGCGCGGCCCGAACACTGCCTTGCCTTTGCATGCCAAACTTCTCCTCGGGAAGCTGGTCCATGCGTGCGCGGTCACGGTCATTAGGCAACCGGCTGAGCAATGCCCTCAGTCTGATCTTCTTCCGAGAGACACGAGATGCGCGGAGAAGGAAAACGGGCACGGGTGGGCGCGCGCGGTCAGGAGAGGGGAAGACCTGAAATGCCTGAGGACACCGCCACTTCGAGGACCGAGCCCTGCACTGGGTAGACCAGGGTAGACACTCCACATGCTGTGCCACGATCGTGCCCTGAACATCTGAAATCCTGATGAGCGTGCGGGCACGTCGATCACACTTCATGCCTGCATCCAGGCAGGCCAAGAGCATGGCCTCACGAACGTCTCAAGTACTTGCCTGGGGCGTACTACACAAATGTTTTGCTGTATGGTCGTACGCCGCACCGCTGACGCGTTGAGGCGTGGGAGAGTGCCAAGGACTGCCTGATGAGGTTTCGGCAAGATCGGGGATGGACAGAGCCCGCTTTAGTAAACCGTGGTTTAGTGAAAACGACCTCGGGCCCAAACCCGGCGGGCGCAAGCCTGCAAAATGACGGCCGCGGCTCCCTCTCGAGAACCGAAAACTGTCAATTCACGGATCAACGTGACAGGGTGGGGGTCTGTCCACCCCGGACAAGTCCTCTAAGGGCCCCCCCCACCTCTCTGTCGACATGCTACCACGCATGCACTGCCCCCCCTCCTCCCCTTGCCGTCGCTCGGACGTACATTTCCCGTGCATTTGTGGGTTCCGTGCGTGTTTTTTTTTGATCGATGGTTCAGGGTGGTCCTCGATGGTTCTCGCCGAGAAAAAATGCACGCGTCCGAGCGATGCCAAGTCCCGCGAGGCTCCCTGGACGGCCCGAGGACTCCGCTCCCGAGGCTGCCAGAGCTCTCTGCAAGGCCTCCGAGACGGCCCCCGAAGGCCACGCGGGCCGAGCAGACGGCCCCGCGTGGCCTCAAGTTCAGGAGGAGGAGGAGGAGGAGGAGGAGGAGGAGGAGGAGGAGGAGGAGTGAGGAGAGAGAGAGGAGGAGGAGGAGGAGGAGGAGGAGGAGGAGGAGAGGAGGAGGAGGAGGGGAGGAGGATGAGGAGAGGAGGAGGAGGAGAGGGAGGAGGAGGAGGAGGAGGAGGAGGAGGAGGAGGAAGAGAAGGAGGAGGCAGCCGAACAGGGCCTTCGGATAGCCCGGGAAAGCTCCAAGACGGCGTAACGACGGCCCGAAGAGGCCCCACACGCACGGCCAGGAGAGCCACAAGATGGCCCGAAAAGGTCCCGAACACGACCGAGGAGGGCCCAAGGAAGCCCAACACAGCTCCAAGACAGCCCAAAACATTCCCCCCATGGGAGCTCCTCAAAACGTGGAGAAGAGATCGGCGGCGAGCGAGGGGGGGAAGTGAGAAGGAGAAGGCCTACTCAGAAGGCGGCGGGACTTCTCAGAAGCCCTCGCGCCTTCTGAAGAAGTTTGCTGTGACTTCGGGGAAGGCTTTGAAAACTTCTGGGGGATTCCCGAGCCTTCTGAGAAGGCCCGCCCCTTCTCCCTTACCCCCCTCGCTCGCCGCCGAAGAGAGGTGTCACGTGTGACGGCCTTCTGGGAGGTGCTCCGCAGAATTTGGTTTTCGCCGAAGGTACTCGAAAGCCTCGCACCCTTTAGCAAGACACGTGGACCAGGAACGCGTCCGGCGCGCTGCCGTGCTGGCGACGGCTCGGCGCCTGGGGCGCTGCAAGATGGCCGCCCCGCCGCGACAACCCCCTGAACAGAAGACGGGAAGAAACACACAACTGCCGGGGGGAACCAGGAGATACCGACACCGCCACTCCCCGCCCTTCGGGTCTCTCCCAAGGTGTGTCCTGACCGAGATTCCGGGGCGAATGCAACGGACCGTGGCGACGGGGTACGCGTAGCGGCATCGGTACGCACCGCTACTCAAAAAAGGCCTCGCCCGGGGTGCGTCCTGACGAAGATTTCGATGCGAATGCAACCTTCTCCTCCTCCGACTGTCGTCCAAGTGCCGCGCGCCCTGCACTCGCAGGGGGGCGGCCGCGAGAAGCACGAGCGCCAGTGCGGAAGCGACGAGACGAGCAAAGGAGGCGGCCAGTCGCTGGGGAGGCCTTCGGCCACAGCAACCTCCGGCTCCGCCGGCTCCGCCGCAGCTGCAGCTGCGGCCCCCTGGCAGAGTGCGCGGCAGTCGGAGGGGCGGAAGGGGGGAGCGAACGTGAAGCAGGATCGTGAAGAAACAGCTTCCGGCTCATGGCGTGGCGTCGAGCAAGGTGCGAACTTCATCATCACACTGGGGGGAGGACTGTTTAGCGCCACGGCCTCCGGAAGAAGCTGTCGAGGGCACGTGCTTGCGGCCCTCCTGCAGCACTTCTGGCCGACCGCTTTTCTGGGTCGCTGGCGGCGCCGGCGGTGGGGTCGCTGCCGGTCGACACGACGCGGACCTGACCTGCGGTATATCGGGCCCAGGCCGTGAAGCGAGAAGCGAGATCACCTCTGCCTGCGCCCTCGCGGGTGGCCGCCCTGCACGGTGGGCAGGGGCGGTGAGGAATCCTGCCGTGAGGGATCTACGGTCGGGAACGCTGGGACAGCGCGTCGCTCCGCCAGCGTCATGGCTCGGGTGTTGCTACAAGTGCCCCTGGCCCAAGGTGCCCCCAGCTTTGCGCTCCATCTTGGAGCCCCTGGGGCCCTCTGGGCCCCGTGAGGGGTGCCCTGGAGGCCGTCTGGGCTGCCCCGAGAATCCTAGGGGCACCTTGGGCCAGGGGTACTTCTAGCAACACCCGAATTGCCCATCACGCTGCGGCGCGACACGCCGTCGAGTCCCCGGGGGCATCGCCGCGGGGGAGGGGGATAGGGGGGGGAGGAGGAGGAGGAGGAGGAGGAGGAGGAGGAGGAGGAGGAGGAGAGGAGGAGGAGGAAGGAGGGAGGAGGGAGGAGGAGAGGAGGAGGAGAGGAGGAGGAGGAGGAGGAAGAGGAGGAGGAGGAGGAGGAGGAGGAGGAGGAGGAGGCGTTGACGCCCGGTCCCCGGGCGTCCACGCCCCGAGCTGGCCCGGGCTACCCCGCCCCGCGAGAGGCGGAGCGGCACGCGGTGCGCTCCCCGAGGGGGCAGCGCCGCGCGCCCGGGGCCGCCGCGGCGGCAGGCTGTGGGCGGGAGCTCCTGACCGCAGGGGCGCCTTTCGGTGCGTCCTTTGCGCGGCGCCCGCGTTGAACGCACAGTCTTTGCGGCGCCGACCGTGTGGGCAGGGTGCCCCGCTGCAGGGGTCGTTCGGCCGTCCGCGCCAGGGCGCCCAGCGCCGCAAAAGAAAATTCGCTGGCACACAAACTCTGCCATTTTTTGGTCACCCCTGAGCCGCCCCGAAGGCACTTTCAGAGTCCCCTCGGTGCGAAGGCTGGGCATGCTCTTAGGGTGGACGGCTCGGGGCGAAGTCCATATGGGCTCTTGCACCTCCAATCGGCGGTGGACAAACCTCCCTTCAGACAAACATCCCCTTGGTGAAAACGGCCTGGGACCGAAACCGACGGACCTGGACTCGCAAAAACGACGGCAGCGACGGCCTCGGTCTATCAACCTCCGATCCAAAAGCATGCTCTTAGGGTGGAGGGCTCGGGGCGACATCCATGAAGTCAACTCATATATCGAAGGCTGGGCGAGGGCTGCTAAAACCGTGGCTGCTAAAACGGCCCTCCCGGAAGGAAAAAAACAACTTACCGGAATGATGCCCGGCACGCGAAACAGCCAACGGGCTTCTTCCCGGAAGGACGAAGACAACTTCCCGGAGGTCGATCTTAGCAGCCACGGATTTAGCAGCCCTTGCCCGGCTTCCGACTATAGTAAGGATGCGCGATAAGGATGCAAGGCCCTTGGAAGCCCATCTCGAAGCTTTCGAGCGGGGCGCGATCAACGAGAGTAGCCAAGGGTGCACCGAGGAGGCAATGATGCAAGGGTACCCTTGGGGAGGCTGCCCGTCCTTACTGTGAGGGTTGACTGTATGGGCTTTTGCACCTCCAAAAGCAGTCCGTCTTGACACGGCATTGCAGATTTCGCCCTCTGCCCTCCACTCAGCGAAGATGCTCGGGCAGGAGCACGCTCGCCAGCCGCCTTCGAACTTCACGGCGTGCCCCAGGGCCTTCTGCGGGTCCCTGGGGCCGCTGCAGAGCGAGGCGCTGCCCAAGGCTGCTGGGGTGCCCGAGGGCCGGCGGGTGGCCGCCTCCGTGCCCCGCGCGCCGGCTGCACCGGGGCTTCCAAGCTTCGCGAGGATCGGTCCTGACGTCATGATGTGGGCAAGAGTTCTATCCATACACGTCAGTCGGAAGAAGTAAGTAGAAACATGAAGTAGGAAGGCTGATAAAGTGGATTGGGTCCAGGCCCCCCCAGGGAACGACAAAACACTGCAAACGCGTGTCGATTCTTGAAGTAGGAAGGCGCTTGAAGTAGATTGGGATCTGGGAATCCAAAAATACCTACTTTCAACGACCGGCGTGTATCCACATGCATTGTGTTTGCCGAGGCGCAGTGGGCATGGGTAACAATCTAGCCTCTGAGGCGCGAGGCTGTTCCAGGTCGACCAGGTCGGCTGCGCCTCGGGTGTCTGGGGAGGCGAGCCCGAAACTCAGAGCCGCAGTGGTGTAGGTACACATCTTGCCCGCACACGATGCCCGCCCGTTCTCCCAGGCGTGGCCACCTTTCGGCCCAACCTCTGCTATATGCCGTGTGCTCTCCTCGCTGCTGCTTCGGGCACGCTCGGGGGGCATCCCCGCGACAAGGGGGGGAGAGGGGGGATGGGCAGGGGCAGGGCGTGGGGAGGGAGGGGACAACAGGGGAGAAGAGCCAGGAGCGAGGGGAGGGGAGGGGGGAGAGCTCTGGCTTGAAGGAGAGGGGCCCTGGCGAAGACGGGCACTGGGCCCCAGAGGCTTCCCTGGGACCAGCCTCTCATCGGCGACATGCTTCCTGCCAAGTGGAAGGGCTCGGGGTCGCACGCCGCGAGCGGCGAAGAGCCTACACAGCCCCCCTCTCCTCCATGGAGCAAGAATCGAAACCCGAAATGGCGCCGTCGACGTCTCAGACGACGACGACGACGACGACGACGACGACGACGACGACGACGACGACGACGGTGGCGGCGGTGGCGGCGGTGGCGGCGGCGGCGGCGGCAGCCGCCGCGACGGCGATAGCGACCGCGCGCTCGGCCCCTCGGCCCTCCGCTGTCGGGGGGCGCGGGGCGGCCCACCTCCCGTTCGCGCGCGGCCCTCCGCTCCGCCGCCTGCCGCCGCGCGACCTTGCCGCGCTGCACGCTCTGGATCCTGGTCGCCGCGGCGGCCTCCGCCAGAGGGAGGCGGGCCGCGGTGGGCGGGGCGTGGAGCGTCTGGGGGCGTTTTGTCGCCCCTCGTGGGCCTCGGGTGGGGGGGGGGCTCCTCTCGTCGTCGCGGCCAGATTCCCCCAGACCTTCTGGCCAGCGCGCACCCCGGCAGATGTCCAGGGGGCGATCTGTCAGAGGGAGGAGGAGCAGGAGGAGGAGGAGGAGGAGGAGGAGGAGGAGGAGGAGGAGGAGGAGGACATCTGATGTTCGATCGATATCGTTTGACCCTCTTCGACGTTCCGGGCTCTGACGGCGGCGTCGTCGCGTCGCAGACATCATCTGGAGGACCCATGGCATTTACTGGAGAAGCCCTGGTGTTCCGGATGCTTGGGACAACTCTGCGAAGCCATAAAGGGTCCATTCGGAGGCTCTGGGAGCTCTCTCGGGGTGCTCCTTGGAGGCGGCTGACAAGTTTCTGGGAGGCACTGGGGGTCCCCAGGATGGTCCTGAGAGGCTGTAGGAGGCTTCAGCGACGCCTTTGGGGCGCTCGGGGGGAGCTCCTCGGGGGCATCGTGACGTTCTCTCGAGGAACCGTAGGGGGTTCTTGCGACTCCTCCTCCTCCTCCTCCTCCTCCTCCTCCTCCTCCTCCTCCTCCTCCTCCTCCTCATCCTCCTCCTCGGGGCGCACGCGAGGCCTTCTCCCTTCCTTCCACAGTTGGCCATCTGCTTCTCGAACAGGCGGGAAGATCGTTGTGATTCACAGGTTCGGTGGAAAAGGGAGGGAGGGGAGGGGAACGAGGAAAAAAGGAGAGGGACGGGAGGGGAGGGAGGAGCAGGGAAGAGTGAGGGGAGGGGGGATGCAAAGGGGTTACCGCCGGACGGTGGCATAAGCATGAACCTGTGCTTAATCCCACCAGCCCTCTGGGCGTAGACAGTCTAACGAGATTCGTCGGTCCTCTTTACAAGCTCATCTTCCGTTCGGGGAGGGGTACCCTCCCAAGCCCCTTCCTGAAGTTTTGTGGCAGGGTTTCGCGATGCGTCAGGGGTTCCTCTTGTTCGCCCAAGGTAGCTCCAAGAGGGTCCCCGATGCTGGAAGATGGTCCCCAAGGTGGCTCTAGATAGCCGACGATGGTCCAACATGGCTTCCCAGAGGCCCCAAGAGGACCACAAGACGGCTCCAAGTGCTCTCGGAGCCCCCTCAGGACTCCCCATAGAGACTGGATTCCTTCGAAACCTATGATCATCAATGATGTCTGCCTACTCGCCTCTTCGCTTCCGATGCGGTTTTGAGTCCTCAAGGTAGCCCCAATCTGGTCCAAGAGAGTTCCAAGAGAGGCCCAAGAGGCCCCGAAGATGGCCCCGAGAGCACCCCAATAGGCTCCAAGAGGGCCACAGGAGGCGACGTTAGAGGCTCTCGACGTGCGACGATCATTAGCGATCCCCCTATTTTCATCGACGCTCTGCAAGATCGCCCCAAGAGGCCTCCATGGCTCCCAGGAGGCCCCAAAGAGGGCTTCAAGAGGGCCCAAGACCCCCCAAACGAACCCAAAGAGGACCCCAACACTCAAACATAGCCCCGGGAGGTCCCAAGATGGGGCTGCAAGAGAGCCTCAAGAGGACCCGAAGAGGGCCTCCAGAACACCCCAAGACGGCTGCCATAGCTTCGTCCTCCTCCTCCTCCTCCTCTTCCTCTTATCGTCTTCGTCTTCTTCCTTCTCATCCTCCTTCTCCTCCTCCTCCTCCTCCTGCTCCTCCTCGTCCTCCTCCTCCTCCTCCTCCTCCTCCTTCTCCTCGTCCTTCTTCTCATTCTCCTCATTCGCGTCTTTCTTCCCGTTTTACTTCTCGTCCTCCTCCTCCTCCTCGTCCTCCTCCTCCTCGTCCTCGTCCTGGACCTGGTCAGACTGATCCACAAGTTATTCCAATGCATGTGCTGCCCTGATCAAGGCAACTCGCCCAGGCACCGTTCCTGGATAGGCTGGTAGGGGACACGCGAAGCGTCAGGCACCGAGGAGGGCAGGAGCATGAGGATGAGCGTGAGGCACAAGCACGAAGCAGACTGGAGCGGGGAGGGAGGGGAGCGCGGGGCGAGGAGGCAGTCGGCCACACGAGAACGAGAGTCACCCTCGGCAGAAGCGGCCTCTGGTGCCGATCCTTCGGGGGCCGCGGGGGGGGCCGCTTCCAGGTGCGCAGTCCGGTGCTCGGGGGACCACCGTGGGCCCGCCCCAGAGGCCACGCCGGCGAAGGGCCACCCTTAAGATTCGCCGAGGGCGCTGGGGAACCCCGCGGGCGCGCGCGGCCGCGACGGCGGCGGCGTCGGCGGCGGCGCGCGCGTCGGCCTGCCCGGGGGCGGGTTCCTCCGCGGCGGCGGCCTGCTGCCGCGCTCGTCGGAGCGCATCGTCGTTGCCGCCGTCGCCGCGGCTGGCGCGAAGCTCCCGCAATTCGCCCGCGGGGGGCGAACGCCGCCGTCGTCGTTGTCGTCATCCTCGTCGCGGCGTCGTCGTCGTCGTTGCCGTCGCCGTCGCCGTCGCCGTCGTCGCCGTCGTCGCCGTCGTCGCCGTCGTCGCCGTCGTCGCCGTCGTCGCCGTCGTCGCCGCCGTCGTCGTCGTTATCGTCGCGAGCGTTGTCGTCGCCCATTTCGTCGTCGCTGTCGCTGTCGCCATCGCCATCGTCGTCGCCGTAGCCGTCGGCGCCGCCATTGCCGTCGTCAGCGGCGACGTCGTCGTCACGCGTCGTTGTTGTAGGAGCGCGAGCGCCTGACAGAGAGATGCTCGCGGTGCCCATTCACTTACAGTGCGACCGACCGGATCAGAAAGATGCACGGTGAGGGTGCAAGGCCCCTGGACGCAAAAATGAAAAGCCGGCGATGGGCCAGGATGGACCAAGACGCCGGGATGCAAGGGCACCCTTGGAAGACGACTCATCCTTACGATGCGCTTTGGCTGAACCTTGACCCACCGCAGAGCTTGGCCACTTGGAGGCGGCCGGGTTGTCTGAACTGGTTGCTGCCCAAAACATTCGTCAGGAGAAAACGGTGAAGCCGAATCCGTTCAAAATCTGTCCCTGGACCCCTCGCGGGGTCCATCCGGTGCAATCTTTCGCCCTGGCCCGAAAACGGCCCCCAGAGGCAGAACAAAAAACGAAAAACTCCTCGGATGCAGCACCTTGAACCTCACCCTTCCCCCCGTCCTGAACGCAGGAACCAGTGTTGGGCCACCTCAGATTCGCAGCGGACCCCAAGGGGCTTCACCCCTTCTCGCGGCAGAGGCACATGCAGAAGCGGGAGAGGGAGATAGAGAGCAAGAGAGTGTGATAGGGAGAGAGAGAGAGAGAGAGAGAGAGAGAGAGAGAGAGAGAGAAAGAGAGAGAGAAGATGCGAAGGGTTCAGGGGCCCGCGCTGGTCAGCGGTAGTTTGGGTCCAAGGAGCGGGCGAGACAGTCGAGGACGCGTCGGAGTCGAACTGGGCACAAGGGGAGAGCGGAAGGGGCGCGGGGGACAGCCGTGGACGGAGGAGCGCGCGCACAGCGTGAAGATCTTACGCGCGTGTGCCCGAGCACACTTGCCGTCGATCGAACGCCCACTCCCCGTGCGCTTCCCGATGTCGCGCTTCGGCCGCTCGCTCCGCAGTCTGGCCCAATATGCTCCTCGGTGGTGCTCGCCTGGAAGAGCGGCGCCGCGCCCGAGCGGTGCCGAGCACGGGCTCAACAAAAAAACGGTTCGGGGGCACGGCGCGGGGTAGCGTCAGGTCGGGCATGTCCTCCTACAGGCGGACCTTGGACGAAACCTTAAACATACGGAAAAAGATGCAAACATGATCAGAAGCAGTCATAACGTCGTCCACCGACTATTTGTTGACTACCCTCGGGCCAGCTCTGGATGCCCTCGAGGCACTCTTTCGCCAGGGTGTTCTCGATGCCGCGGCAGGGCTCGATGGAGTAGCTCCACGGCTCCATGCCCATGACGACCTTGAGTTCGCATTGCTCTCTCGGCCGGACCGCGAGCATGTGGTTGGCTTTCAGCCCTTGGAGCGGCACCGCGTCCTTGTTCTGCACGCGGAAGCGGGTGTAGGCCTCGGAGACGCAGTAGAGGCACTCGTAGGGCGAGGCCGAGCCTCCTGCCGCGGCCTGCGGCGGGCGGGCGGCTCCTTGGCGCCCCCCACGCGGGCCGGGGGCGGACAGGAAACGCTGCCGCCCCTGCCTGCAGGCGTCGCGCCTCGCAGGGCTCCTCCCCCCCTCGAGGCACAAGCCATGCATTTTTACACTTATCATTCCTCCTCCTCCTCCTCCTCCTACTCCTCTTCCCTCCTCCCTCCTCCTCCACCTCCTCCTCCTCCTCCTCCTCCTCCTCCTCCCCTCCTCCTCCTCCTCCTCTCCTTCTCATTCCCCTCCTCCTCCTCCTCCTCCTCCTCCTCCTCCTGCCCCTCCTCCTCCTCCCCTCCTCCTCCTCCTCCCGCCTCCTCCTCCTCCTCCTCCTCCTCCTCCCCCTCCTCCTCCTCCTCCTCCTCCTCCTCCTCATCCTCCTCCTCCTCCTAGCCGATTTGGCAATTCGGGCCTCTGCTTGCCGTCACCGATTCTTCAAAACGGCTGGGTGGCGGCGGGCCCAGTTTGGCTTGCGACCTGCCAGCACGACCCCCGCACTGGCTAGCTCCTGGCCCTGGCTCCGGCTCGTGATGCTGGGGGCAATCGCACGTGGTACTGTCGTTTCTGCGTGCATGAGAAGACAGGGGCTCGATTTTTCAACAAGCCAGACAGGGTGCAGTGCTTTCAATGCCAACGATCGAAAGGGAGTTGCTATCACTCATACACACCTCCTGTGTCTCCGTCTGTCTCAAGAGCTGGGGGAGGAGGCAAGAGGAGTGGATCGGATTCCGACACACCTTGGGCTCGAGCAGCAGAATTACGACAAGCCCATGCTCAGATTGCCAAGCTTGAGAAGCTAATCAAGTCGGCAGCGCAGCGAACGCGTCCCACATTGATGTGGAGACAGAGCATGTGGCTGAGTTCGAGAGCGATGCAGCACATGACGAAGGCAAAGCTCGAGCTCGTCTGGCGGAACTGGACAAGCATATTAACATGGCCTCGAGGTGCGACGGAGAAGCGCGGCAGCTGCTGCACAGGACATTGTCCGACGAGAAGGCCTCGCTGCAGGCGCAGGTCAACAGCAAGAAGCCTGCCACGGCGCAGATGTTCGCTATTACCAGGCAGATTGAGAACGTGGAGAAGCAGGTTGCGAAGCAATGCAAGCAGGTGGATGCACAGCGGGGTGAGATCACCCAGATGCAGGCAGATCTGGCAAAGCTGGAGGCATCTATTCAGGATAAGCGCACGGAGCTGGTCACGCTACGACAACAGCACCTGGACCTGGCTCAGCAAGCGAGTATGCCGCCTGAAGGAAAGCCTGGTCGCCAACTCACGGCCATTGGACTCGACGCAAGCAAGTTGGGAGATGTACTTCGGCAGCTGGGCGCTGGAGAACAAGCAATGGCCATGGCAGAAGGAGTTGCTCAGGCCATGCCCACTACTATCAGGAACGCAGAAGTTCAGGTACTCGGTGCCACCAGGACGGATGCCCCATCCCAGCCAGCGGCGCCAGCCACACCAGGCGGAGCAGAGTCCGGGTCGGAGAGTCCTCAACAACCTCCTGTTTGGCTGATGCGCCTGTGGATGAGCTCCGCAATCTGTTGGACCTGGCAGGCGTCACGGTGCCAGAAGGGGAGACGGAAGCGCGTTCAGCAACATATCAAGTTGCTCAAGATGCGAGAGGTCAGTCGGTTCAGCGCGTTCAGAGCCTATTCGGCGCAGTGTCCGACGTTTGATGATGCGGTTTTTTGTAGTCATGATGCTGTCAAGTGCTTCGTATTGTTCGTTTGCTCGCTCGGCGGCTTCGCGTACCTTGTCGAGCGGTGCGCTCGCTGGCGCAGACTTCGAGTCTAGCCAGCAGGGGCCGCCACATGTGCGAGCTCAGGGGGATCGGGTCGCCCCTGTTGACCCAGCGGCTGGTAGACCGCTTATGCCGTCGCGTTCGGGGACCACGTGTGCTTCGGGTACTTCAGCCGCCCCAGCTCACTCTGATGCAGCGGGCAGGCGTGAGCCAGATGGGGGAACGACGGCGTCGCTTCCCTCAACCGCTGTTGAAGGGGCTGGGGCACATGGTGGGTCGATTATTGCGTCGTGCTCGAGGACAGCGTGTCCGTGTACTTCGGGTACTTCTCTTCCCCCAGCTCTCCTCCATGCAGCTGGTAGGCGTGGGCCAGATGGGGGACCGACGGTGTCGGTGCCCTCTACCGCTGCTGAGGGTGCTGGGGCACATAGTGCAAGGTCTATGGCGTCGAGCTCAAGGGACTGCGCGCGCTTCGAGTACGTCGTTTGCCCCAGCTCCCTCTGGCGCAGCGGATAGGCTTGAGCCAGGTGGGGGACTGACGGCGTCGGTCCCCGCATCCGCTGCTGGGGGAGCTAGGGCACGTGGGCAGCTGCCGCTCCCCCCCCCCCCCACTGGCGCTCGATGCGGCTCGGAAAAACTTGCCAGGACGAACCGAGGATTTGCAAGTGAAGGAGGTCGTCACCACAGTGAACGCCGACAGTTCAGGCCCTCTCTTGAAATACATGGATCAGGCGAGATCTGCTGTTGTGCTGGCACAGGAACTTCGCGCGGATGCGAGCTGGTTACCTTCCCTGGCACCGGCGGTGAAAGACAAAGGATACCATGGCGTCTACTGCCCTTCGCTCAGAACGGATAATGATGGACTTTCGGCAGGCACAGCTGTGCTAGTACCGAGCATGGTCACGATTATGAACCCACCTGGGCTGGACCCCCCGCAAATTTATCCTGGGCGATGCGTAGCTGCGAAGGTGGCTTGGGGATGCGACGGTGGGATGGTTGCTATAAGTGTGTATTTCCAGGTCCGAGTTGGCCCCGATGAGGAGAATCAGGCATTCTTGTATGCGCTCACTTGTTATCCTGGGCGGCTGAATGATATGGCGACACCGTGGATTGTTGGGGGTGATTGGGACATGTTGTATACCACGTTGGCGGGCAGGCATGGCTGGATAATTTGCGCAGTGTATTTCTGGCGCCCACAGTGGCCGCGTGCGTCACCAACAACTCCGCGGAAGGGCATGTGCATGATCACTTTGCGGTGTCGGATGAGCTGGCCGCAAAGTTGCACCCGCCTGGGGGGGATGAAGTGGCAGGGCTGCCCGTCCGCAAGCCAGAGTCCATTTGCCAATAATGGACGGCCACCGTACTACGTGGCTACGAGTCCCGTGCGAGCCAAAAGCGTTGCGGAAGAAGCCCCACACTGGATGTTCGAGACAACCGGTGGAATGGGAGCACGTTTTGTTTCTAATGCGAACTGCTCAGAGTCAGGAGGAGG